TACTGCCGCCGCCTCCGCCTCCGCCGCCGCCTCCACCTCCGCCACCTCCGCCACCTCCGCTCCCACCGCCACCGCCGCCGCCACCTCCACCTCCACTGCCGCCACCGACCCCTCCACCCCCACCTCCACTCCCACCGCCACCCCCACTCCCCCAACTGCCGCCACCTCCACCTCCACCGCCCCCGCTCGCTCCTCCAGCGCCCTTGCCCCCCTTGCCCTTGCCAGAGCGGCGTCTCCCGCTAGGGGCAGACGCCGCACCGACCGACTCAAGAACAAGGAGGTCGGCCGCAGCAGCAGAGGCAACAGAGGGCAGAAGGGGGGAGGGGGAACACCCCTCAAAGATGGGGGTGCGCGGGTCACCACGAGAGGCCCCTACAGCGACTATGCTCTTCTCGGCCGCTAGGAGGGACTTCTCGAGGAGGTCAACAGTGAGAGTGGTGGGACAGACAGAGAGAAAGTGGTCCCTGACTACGCGAAGGGAGTCAGGAAGGCGAGTGACTATGTAGTAAAGAGTGATGTACATGGGGGGGGGGTTCCTGGCGCAGAAGTCAGGAGGGAGTGCAGCGCGGTAGCGAGTGTCACTAGTGCGGAGGTGCGTAATGAGGTCAGTGACTGTGGGAAAGGCAGCAAGGTCAGGAAAGAGGTACGGTAGCATGAGACGGCTCAGTGCAGCAGTGGCAGGGGAGGAGTAGCGCGCAACTACAGCGTCGTACAAGGTCTGAGCACTCTTGTACTGACTAAAGTGCGCACGCTCGGAGGTAGGGAGGTGGCGACGCACAGCAAGACGTGCAGCAGCGTCGCGCGTGGCCCACTGGGAGCGAACAGTGGCGTCAGCATCAGCAGCAGGGGCAGTGGAGGTGCCAGAGGTGAGGTCAAAGAGAGAGAGGCCGTCTGCCCTATCGCACTGTAAGAACAGCTGCAGATCATCCACCGAGACCTCAAAGTCAATGGCCCTACCCTCAGCGTCAAAGGCGAGAACACTAGGGGTAGCCATGACCCTAGACGACTAGCAGCGCAAACAGTAGGGTGAGGACAGTGCAGTGAAAAGGCGCTGTGCTCACCAGACTGGGCAGGTCGGGCGGCCCTGAAGGAGGGCGGCGCGGCGGCTCGGCGGCTCAGCTGCTGGGCGGCCCGGCGGCTCGGCGGCCCCGCTGCTGGGCGGCTCGGCTGCTGGGCGGCTCGGCTGCTGGGCGGCACGGCCGCTGGGCGGCTCGGCTGCTGGGCGGCTCGGCTGCTGGGCGGCTCGGCTGCTGGGCGGCTCGGCGGCTCGGCTGCTGGGCGGCTCGGCTGCTGGGCGGCTTGGCGGCTCGGCTGCTGGGCGGCTCGGCTGTGCTGCTGCAGGGCGGCACGGCTGGGCAGCAGGTGACGGGGCCGCAGGTAAGGGCGACGGGGCCGCTGGTAAGGGCGGCGTGGCCGCGGGTAGGGTGGCGGGGCCGCAGATAGGGTGGCGGGGCCGCAGCAGAGGGCGGCGGGGCCGCAGGTAAGGTGGCGGGGCCGCAGGTAAGGTGGCGGGGCCGCAGGTAAGGTGGCGGGGCCGCAGCAGAGGGCGGCGGGGCCGCAGGTAAGGGCGGGGCCGCAGGTAAGGTGGCGGGGCCGCAGGTAAGGTGGCGGGGCCGCTAGGTAGGGCGGCGGGGCCGCGCGATGGGGCGGCGGGGCCGCGAGGAAGGGCGGCGGTGCCGCTAGGTAGGGCGGCGGGGCCGTTAGGTAGGGCGGCGGGGCCGCGCGATGGGGCGGCGGGGCCGCGATGGGGCGGCGGGGCCGCGCGATGGGGCGGCGGGGCCGCGATGGGGCGGCGGGGCCGCTAGGTAGGGCGGCGGGGCCGCGCAATGGGGCGGCGAGGCCGCGAGGTAGGGCGGCGGGGCCGCTAGGTAGGGCGGCGGGGCCGCTAGGAGAGAGGCGGCGGGGCCGCGAAGACGGGCGGCGGGGCCGCGGAGACGGGTGGCGGGGCCGCAGTGAAGGGCCGCTAGGGCGGCTCGACGAAGTGAGGGCCCGGAGCGCGACTCGGGCTGAGCGCGCTTCGGGCAGGAAAAAAAAAAAAAAATCGATGTGGTGGGCCCTAAGCACAGTTCCCAAGGGGGAACCTGCTCGATACCATGAGAAGATTTGAACAAGAATGGGTGAACTATGAAATGAAGTGAGTACAAATATGAAACCCTAATTGGTTGTACCCCCTATGGGATACCCCACTATAGCCTACACAACAGCATAAGCTATAATGTTCTGACAGAGGTAGGCCTTCGGGTCGTTCTCGTACAGTAGAATGACAGATGCTGGAAGGTTGTTCGCCAGACGCTGAACCGCCAGACCACGTGAAAGCCACCTGACGCTGTGGATGCCCTGCATCTCCATGTTTGTTTGGCAGAGCACCTCCTGAAGCTCTTTGAAGCGTAGGTGGAAGTTGCCCGACCGTCCAAGCTGCTCCGCCAAGGAGCGGACGACTCTGTCGACGAGGTCAAGGTCGGGGTAGGCCTCGGCGGCATCCTTTGCCGCCAAAGCTTCCCTGACACAACACGGGAAAAACGATAAGTTAGATAAACAGGCAACGCATGGAAAAAATAACAGATGTCGGGTTACACACCTGTGCACGACGCAGTGGAACCCGGCGAGGTGTGGAATCCGTGTTCGAAGGCGCGCCACCAGGCCCGTCTGAGAACCGACCATGACGCTTGCACCGTCGGTGCTGATGCCACTGACGCGTTCAAGTTCGAGGCCGGTTCCTTCTAAGTGGGTTAGAAGGACTGCCTGCAGGGAACCAGCATCGCACTGCTCAACTGTTAGGTGCGCGAAGAATTCAGTGACTGGCGTGTTGTTGCGGAGGAATGACAGATAGACGATGAGGTGTTTTCCGCGTCGACGGTCCGTGCTCTCGTCCAACTGAATGCCCAGGTAAGGACTCTCCCGGATGTGCTTCATCTGTTGAGCACGAAGGTAGACGACGAGTGTCTCTACCAGCTGCGCGAACCCGTACCTGCAACGATCAGAAACAACCTTCTTAGAAACAAGCGGGTTTTAACAAGCAGGTCCCCCAAAGCATACCAACACTTACTCGTTGTAGTATGTGCCGGAATCCTTCAGGGGCATGTCCGGGGTGCCCATTTCTGCCATGAACTGGACCAGCGACACAAACATCACAATGGGTGAGTCACTTCTGCAAATGAAAATAACTGTTGCCAACAGTTTTGCCAAACGGTTGGCTTCCGCGTCACCGTTTTCGAAGTCGACAATAGTCTTCTGAGCCGTATTCTTGCCGTCTCGTAGCTGTTGTCGGTCCACTGCCACCTCATGCTTGATCGAATGTTGGTGCTTCCGCATTGTCTGTCGTTGAATGTCGAGCCCACCCTCCCCGTCGCGGCCGTACTGGTAGCTGGGGTCACCGTGCACCATGCAGATTGAGCACCTCATACAGGGTTGACCCCATGAGGTCTGCGAGATGATGAGCCACGGGAAGTGCTTGAGCCATTTCTCCTTCGCCTTCTCCTGCCACTGCTCGACGGTCAGGACATGGGGGTACTTGTCGTCCTTGTCGGCGGCGGCGGGTTTTGATGGGCCTGGACGAGGTGTGAAGCGGGGGACGGTAGCTGGGGCGACACCTAGAGTGGGACGGGCAAAACTGAGAACACGCTGTTTGAAATTGCCGTTCCCAACTCTAACGCGAGAAAAAGAGATTGCAGGTGCGGTGGTAGCCACAGATGCCGAAACGGGCGGGGGCGACGACTCAGCTTCAGCCGTGCTAGGCTGGGTCGAGGTCTCTGCCGCATCTGATGTGGATGGCGAGGGGATAATAGGCTCGTTGTTGTAGGACGAAATGACGTTGGGGGGAGGAATTACAGGCGGAGGAGTCCCTACTGCGGCAGTTGTGATTACTGGAATCGCGGCAGGAGCTTTCCGCGTTAAGAAATCTAACGCGGATACCAGGGGCGCCTCAGGTACCGCGGGTGAATCACGCTTAGCGTTGTCGGTTGAGGCGGGTGCGCCATGTTCAGCTAGCATGGTGTGGTGTGGTGAGACACTTGAGGACGGGACGGGACGAATTGAAACGGAGAGAGAGCAAGGATGGTCAAAGAAAGGCTTGGAGAAGAAAGGATGGGTGGTAAGGACCGTCTTGTCACGAACCGCGCCTCTTTGACGAGGGTCTCACGAAAGTGCAATGGCAGCCCATGCATGCCTTGTTTGTTGTACACCGGCTGTCCTTGCACTCTGCCAGCGAGGGAGGGGGAAACGGCCTGGCAGCGGCGCCGACAACAGCTACCCGACAGATACGTGGCAGCAACTGAGTCAGATGCGAAGTGCGCTGGCAGGAAAAATCCAAAACTAACCCCCGCGCCCACACGCAAAAATCATTACGCGTGATCACACAAGCAACACATCGCTACTCCAATGGCCAAGTGGGCCAGTTTGTCTCTTTCAGACGAAACTATACGCGATTTCTACTTGATCAGCTCCCTTGCTATAACTCTCCTGAAAAAACATATGAACATATAGCATTTGTCTGGGCTCTCATATGGCCCCAAAGGCAAAGTCTGCCGCAACATATGAACTATACATTTTGTGCCTGAAACCTAGACCAACAGACTAATTTAGTCTGCTAACGAGAGCCCTGGCGCTCTTCTTTTACTAATTGTGATTCATTCTCACACTCTATACCCTTTGTAGGATGGTTATAGCGTTTGTTTCTAGCTTCAACATCACGCCATTTATTATATTCATTTCTGCTTAAACATCACGAATTACTCTGGTGCATTGCGGTTTTAAGTGGTACAGCGCATACGACACATGCCTCGCAAGCACCTCCGCCTTCGTCTCTTTCACTGCTGGATTAGCTCGTGACTTCATGTGGTTGGCTTCGAGCGAGATTCATTTCCCTCGCGATCAGTGAATCGCTGTTGTCTACGTGGGACTAGTAGCTGAATCTCTACAAATCGTGCACAGGAAAGTTAGCCTATTGAAGAATTAACTGATTCTCGAACGTTCAACGACGCTTCACACTAGCCTGTCGGAACATGGCGCGGCGAAAACCCTCAGAGCAGCCGCTCGACGACGACTCACGACGTGTGCGAACGAGATCCATGTCACGAGGAGTCGCTGGCAGCCGTGCGACTGCGACGCCACCCAGAGCTTCCTTTCACGAACCAACGGACGACTCGGGCGACGCCGAGCGCACTCCCAGGGATGCACCGGTTCTTACCGCTTTAAACGGCGATGAGTTCGACCGAACGGATGGCCATGAACGGCCGGATGAGCTTGCCGAGGGAGGCATCCCTAGAGGGCTTGTAGATCGTACGGCTGATGATTCTGCGGATGTCAATATTGGTGATCATCGTACGGCTGGCGATAGCCCTACATCTGGCGCGGATTCTGGACGGGCTGGCACCGTCGACGGAGGTGGAGCCAGCATGGATGCGGGTGACGTGGCACGCCGTCGATTTCTTTCGATCGCACGGCAGAGGGCCGCCCATTTCGCCCATTTCGATCATTCTTCCCGCCTGACCTCCGCTCGCCGCACTGGCGCGCGCGAAACCTCTCCCGTTGCCGGCCCTCCCCCCTCTTCCGCTTCCGCCGAGGCTGCCGCCGCCGCGGGGCAGGGAGGGGGTCGAGGCGGACGCGGGCGCGGGCAGGCGCGTGGGGCGGGGGAGGCGGAGCAGTGGCCGGGCCCGTTCGCCACAGCGAGGCAGTTGGTGCGGGGAAGAGCCGCTGCTGCCGCCGCCAGGCAGGCGCAAGGGGGCGGGGGGACGCGCACAGGGGAAAGCGCGGGGGAACGATTGGGCGGAGAAAGCATTGCGCAAGGCAGCGAAGCAGGGGGAATCCGGGGCGGGGGGGCAGGAACTACAGGTACTGGTGTTAGCACCGCTCCAGCTCGGGTAGCTGTAGCATGGACTCCCAAATCGCCGAGAGAAACGGGAGGAGGCGGAAGAGACGACACAAGCGGGGGCGGAGGGGGGGGAAGAGGCCCCCGCAGCCTGTACTCCCTGTGTCTAGACGTGGTATCAGCGCACATAGAGGCGCTGGAATCACTGGAAGGCGTGCCGGACGGCGTGCGGCGCGACCTGAGTGCGTGCCTGAGCGCGCACAGGCGGCTGGACGGCCCCGCGCTGCTGCTGCTGGTGGGCGGCGTGGCGACGGAGCTGGCCGTGGCAGACTGCTCGCTGGTGGGCGAGGCGGACCTGCACCGCGCTCTCCTCACCTGCCACCCTGCCAAGCTGGAGGTGTGCTTGTGCGCCTGGATGTGCACTTGTGGAAGCGATGTGAAGTGATGTGTGCTCCGTGTTCAAACTCGTTGCTCCGAATGGCTGCCAAGTCTGTGTGAGACTGGGTTGAAGAGTGCTCAGCAGCTGCAGTGCCGTCAAGCGAGTTTCTCTGTCTAGGGTGATACCACATCACCCTTTTCTCACGCCTTCGGCCTTTTCCCACTTCCCTGCGCTTCCACCCCCCTTTCTCCTCCCTTCCTCCCTTCATTTTCGCCCACTACCCTCTTCCCCCTCTTGCCCTTCCCTCCCGCCCCTGTTCCCCCCTCACTCACCCCATCCCCGCACCACCGGGCAGCGCGTGGATCTCTCTATGTGTGGTCGTAGTCTCTCCGACGCCTGCCTCACCTCCACTCTCCTGCGCGCCCCAGCGTCCCTCCCCGCGCTGCGCTCCCTCTCCCTGCAAGGCGCCTATCGCCTCTCCGACACCTCCCTCCCCCCGCTCGCCCTCGCCGCCCCCTCCCTCGCGCACCTCTCGCTCCTCCACTGCCCGCTCCTCTCCTCCCCAGCAGTATCCACCCTGCTCTCCTCCCTCGCCTCCTCACTCAAATCTCTCCGCTTGGACGGGTGCAGTCAGCTGAATGCTCACGCGCTGCTGCCAGGCCTCAGGGCGTTGACGGGGCTGACCTGCCTGTCGCTGTCGGGAGTGTCTGCGGTGACTGATGCCGTGCTGGCTGACCTGCTGCCCGCTGTGGGGGGGCATCTGAGGGAGCTTTCTCTGGCACACTGCGAGTAAGTCGCTTTGGTAGTCTAGTGACGAGAAGCGCTGCCGGTAATGTGCTGTGAGCTTGGAGGCAACCGTAGTGAGCCTCCCCTGGCTTCTCTCTCTCTCTCTCTCTCTCTCTCTCTCTCTCTCTCTCTCTCTCTCTCTCTCTCTCTCTCTCTCTCTCTCTCTCTCTCTCTCTCGAATGGTCCTTGCATTACTATGAGGGGTGGTACAAAGGAAGATGCAAAACACACAAGCACAACAAACATCCAAACCGAGATCCGAACTACCTCAAGTCTCCTACCTACTCAGCCCCCCCCCCTTCTGTCCGACCCTACTGGTCGAACGGGGCCTCAATCAACTGGTGCAGCTGTCCCTCACTGAGAGGGATGATGGGTCCTCTAAAGCCGAGCTCGTCCGCCGCCAAGGCCTCGTTGGTCTTGGTGCGGAGGGCGTTGGCCTGCGCCCGCTGGAGGCACACGCTCCAGCGCTGGCGGTACTCCGTCAGCAGCTTCGCTGCTTCGTAGGAGGTAGGAGCCGCGTTAAACCGCAGCTTTGCCGCCAGCTCTGCGCACTGCCGCAGGTAAGCCATCACCCCCGGCGAGGGGTAGCCATAAGTTTCCACTGCAAGCGCGTGGAACCCCACCCACGCGTTCCGCCGTGCGTACTTATCCTCCTTTTTCTCTGCTGCCGCCCTAGCCGCCCATCCAGGAGCTCGGTTGCAGTTCTCGTCCTGCCTTGACACCGGGTCCGTCACGGTCACGTCGCACATCCAAACCTCACCAGTCAGGGGATGGCGGATGGTGACATCCGCCTTTAGGTTTTCAACCAGTGAGTAGACATACGTCTCCTTGTGAACCGTAAACCCCGCCTCCGCCCCAATGTTCGCTATCTCATCCCGCAGAGCGTGGTGGGTTGCGGTCCTCCCTTTCCCCTTCTCGCAGCGCATGAGGTGGTTGGGGAGGCGGTCGTCGGGGAAGCTGGTGCGGTAGCGGCAGTCACAGCGTCTAGGCTCTGGGAGGGGGAGGCCTAGGCGGAAGGCAGCTGCAGTTGAGAGCTGGGACGGGCCCATCCGGAGCGAGGGGGTGAGCGGGATCGCCAGCAGCCAATCCCCCGCGCCTGGGCCCAGCACCGACTGCATCCGTTGCGCATGGCCAGAGCGGGGGTTGGGGCGCATCCTCCTTGCCTCGCGCATGACTCTCAGGAAGCGGCGGGAGTGAACCGCCAGTGCTAGGTTCTGCTGCAGCTTCAGTCCCTTGGGGTCCGCCTTCCCGGCCTGGAGCACCTCGAGAGCCTCGGGGGGCAGGGCTGCCTCAGCCGCGGCGAGGCGTGCAGGTAGCGCGTGTGGGGAGCCGTGGGTTGGGTCCAAAAGGGGGAGGAGCGCGGCGACAGCGGGGTGCAACGAGTCCTCCAGAGAGTGCAAGAGGTGGGCTGTGCTGATCACTGAGGCGAGGTAGGCATAGCTGCCTTCAACGGCGGGGTCAGTGATGCCCAGGCCTCCCAAAGTCACTGGCAGGGCCGCCTGCCGCCAAATCCTCCGTCTCTCCCTGGCGCTCCTCGGCCTCATGATGTGGGCCGAGTCTAGGAAGGTGTGAAGGAGTTGTTCCCCCCAAGCGGACCATTCGGCTTCAGGGAGGGCCTCTAGGGGGGTGGTTCTGGCCAGGAAGGAAGCTCGGCGGCTGACACAGCGGGTGAGGAGGAGGAGGGCAAGTTGGGGGTCCATCTGGGCCAGCAGGGGGAGAGGCGCTGCTGCTGCTTCCAATCTCGCTCTCACAGCATCTGCGCAGCCTCGGGCAGTGCCCACGGGGCTGCCGAGAATCTGCAAACCCTCCTCAGAGATAGTGACGCCTGGGGGGACTGAGGAGGCGTCGATTGCTGCGGCGGACCACGCCGCGCACTTAGCCGGATTGTGCACCAGGCCGAGGGCGGCTAAAGCAGAGGTGAGGTGGTCGAAAGCCGCAGAGCAGGCCGTGGCGTCGCCGAGCAGCGTGATATCATCGGCGTACGCCAGCAGGACCACCTGAGGGTGTGCAGCCGCCGTGTCCACGAGGCACGGGTGGATGCTAGCCGCGAACAGGAGTGGGCCGAGCGGGTCTCCTTGGCGAACACCCCTGGCGCTCTGCAGCGGGTCTCTCTCTCTCTCTCTCTCTCTCTCTCTCTCTCTCTCTCTCTCTCTCTCTCTCTCTCTCTCTCTCTCTCTCTCTCTCTCTCTCTCTCTCTCTCTCTGCCTTACTGCGATTAGGACGATAAGGCAGTGGTTAAATTCTGTATCTGGTGCACGCTCAGTGAGCGCCTCACTGCCAGCCAGGGCTGCTTGTGCATTCACTCCACGCTACGCTTGAGTCCAGTATGCCAGATTGAATTGCAACGCTTGCAATGCCCCATGGATCCTCTCCTTCCCGCTTATCCCTTCCTGCCATTGCTTCCCATCCGATCCCTTGTGGCTAAACCCCCTTCAACTCCTTTTGCTCGTTCTCTCACCGTTGCATCACAGGGCAGTAACAGACGAGTCCGTGGCCGCGGCAGCAGTCCACGCACCGTCATTAACCGCTCTGGACCTCTCACACCTTCCCCTGCTCTCGGACGACTCCCTCCACTCCCTGTGCTCCGCTCAACTCAAGCTGCGATCGCTCAACCTCACTCGAACCAACTTCAGGTCAGCACCTGGATTTGACGCCTCAAGCCTCCTCCCTCACTCCCCCCCCCCACTCCCCCCTCCCTCCCCCAATTCCTCCCCCTGATGCTTCACTAGATTTCCTCATCCGATTGATCCCCTCTCGCTTTTTCCTACCATTTTAATTTCCTCCCCACTCCTCCCATCCTCCCTCCTCCTCTCGTCCCATTCCCCGCAGTGACTCGGCTCTCGCTTCTCTGGTCCAGTCCTCAGGCGCTGCGCTGCACACCCTTTCAGTGAATGCTGTGTATGAGGTGAGTGTACATCAACACAGTCAGAGCTCTTCCCCCGATCTCGCAGACTCCCGTGATTGCTCTTGCTGCTGCTCAAGTCCCACCACACCCCTGCTCGCTCTCTCTAATCGCACAACGCCTCCCCCCCCCCCCTTTGTCCCCATCGCACAGGCATCGGACGGGCTGCTGGTCGCGCTAGCGCGCTGCGCGCACGAGTCGCTGCAGGCTCTCGATGTGTCGTGGTGTCGCTCCATGTCTGACCACGCCCTTGGCCTGCTCGCTGACTCCTGCACCAACCTCTCTCGCCTCTGCCTCTACGGCTGCTCCCAGGTAAATTTCTGCCCACTTGAGAGGTCACCTGGAAGTTTTCATGTGGCTGCTCAGGGTTTCTGGCCTAGTGGTCAGCGCAGTTCTTCTTTCCCTTCCATTTTCTGGCACGAGCTGAGAGAGACCAATTGATGGCCGCTCAGTTTGCCACATTTTATTAGTTGATTGGTGCCAGTCCAGCTCTCTCCCGCCTGCAATACTCATATTACGTCCCCCTCTCCCTTCTCCCCCCCCCCCCCCCCCCCCCCCCCCTTCCTCTCCTCTTTTGTTTTTCTTGTTGTTTGGTCGTCTGTTTGTTTGTTTCTAATTATTTATTGCAATAATGTGTTTTGACCTTGGGTTTCAGGTGTCCGATGTGTTTTACCTCGGGCATAGTAACACCCGTCTGCAGCTCGTTGGCCAAGTAGGGATGGTGATAAATTGACACTGGTGTTGTGTCGGAGCTATGCATTTTCTTAGTGGGCGATGGATTAGGTTGGGGCATTATAGCACGTCAACTGCTTGCAGGCGGAGGGTGTTTGTAAGAATATCCATTTGTGGAATCGGCTGTTATCTGTGGGGGATGGATGCTCTGGACATGGAAAATGAAGAGTCTATTGCAGACTTGGAAGGTTCACACTTCAGATACAACATGGTGGCATTATATTATCCAAGATCCTGCTACCCATTTAATCGCGGTGAAAGAATAAGGACCAGGTGTACCTTCGCGTGCCTTGTAGCTTGTCACTCCGCCGCACTTTCGCGGTTGCTGCCATCTCATCCCAAAGGCGCGGGGCTGGGGATCGTGAAATAGGGTAATTGCATGTTGTGGCCTCAAAATACAACTGGCAGCAGTCATAGAGCCCCAGAACAGCTTGAACCTTTGGTAACCACTGACACCACAGTTGGGAGATTGGAAAAGAACACTCTCCGCATGGCAACGTGTTCGCTATGCTACAGTTACGATCCAGGCGAAAAAAAATAAGAAACATTACTTGGTAGTATCGCCGATGCTGCCAGGCGAATCCGAATCCGGGTGCGTCAGGGACACAGCCATCCACTTGTGCATCCCTCCCTCAATAGCTCCCGAGTCCCGCATTCCGCGCATCTCCCATCGCCTTGTCGTTCCTCACTTCCTTCGGCTTCACGCCATCTCCCCCGTTGCATCTGTTTCAAACAAGCACGGATGGGCTGGGGGGAAGAAGATGGTGAGAGGGTACATAAGGAAAGGACTGACGTCACAAAACATGTCTTAATGGCCGTTTTTAGGGACACCAACTGGAAAACGGACGGTGCACGCGCACGGTTTGGGAAGCGCTAACGTCAAGTTCTGCATTTGTAACAGCGCGGAGGTCGCGGAGTTCGCAAGGCGGTTTCACCAGTCGCACAGAGGCCGCAGGAAATTCGCGGGGTGTAATGGCATCGTCGTGGGCTCAGCGCGCGCCCGTATTTGGCGCGGGGTGCAGCCAATTCCCGGTGGAGCAATGTCCGCTTGGCGCGCAGGTCCTAGCTGCGCCATTGTCGCATCAGTCGCCGTCCCCGTCGTTTGCTCATCATCAGTCTCGCCAGCAGCACGACTCTGCGACGTTACGCGACGAGAATCCGTCGCTTGATATATTCGTGGAGAGTGACGTGGCAGCGGAGTTCTTGAACCTTCTGGACGCCATCACGGACGGCTCGCAGCCGGACGGGACTCCCATCGGCAGCACCGATTCACGCGATTTACAACAGCATCGCGATACTAACTTATTGCACCAGCACCAGCACCACCAGCAGCAGCATCAGCAGCAGCAGCAGCAGCACCAACAGTTGTCGTCCGCGCCATCTTCACCTGCCGCCTCCGCCGCCGATCCTACCACGTCCATTTCGGCCTCCACCAGCGGTGCTGCTAGCTTTTTGGCCGCAGCTCCAGATTCGGCTGGCGGTGATGCTATGACGGCAGCAGAAGCACTGGCGAACCCTGTGTCGCCGCGGCATGGGGAGTCGTTAAACGCGTTGGATTCATACAGATCGTTGGAAGCAGCGTGTGCGACGGAGGTGATTCACGACGACGACGCTGCAGCGTGTGTGGCGGGGTTCAATGGCGGTCGTTCCGACGACCCCATCGACGCTTTTCTCGGCACCCTGCTGCTCGAGAATCCGGCGTGCGGAGGTGGCGATGCGCGCACATCTCCTTGCCCGTCCGCCGCTGCTGCTGCCCGCGGTCATGATCCGCTGCTGCAAGGCGCGCCCATGAGCAGTAGCCAGGGCTTGGCGGAAGTGCGGGAATGTTGGCTTTCAGAATTGTTAGTAGCACCTCCCGCCTCTATCTCATGGGCTTCGCAGCAGCAGCAGCAGCAGCAGTTTATGATGATGACAGAAGGGAACGAGGCGTTGCATGAGGTGCCCTGTGTGCACCCAGGGAACGACGGCGAACCGGCATTTGTGGGGACCGGCTGGAGTGACAACTTGGTGGAGGAATTGGGCATGGGCGGAAGCAAGGCGGGCGGAATGGGCGGTGGGGGAGACAATGCGCAGCAGGTGGAGGGTTCAGCGTCGCCTGTGGAGCTCACAGGCTCAGATCTGTTTAATGCGGCACGCATGGAGGGAAGTGGTGTGGGAAGCGTGGCGACAAGCAGGGAGCGGAGCGAGGATAGTGCGAGTGGCAAGGGCTATCCTGCTGCTGCTTCTGCTGCTGCTGATGATGATTTTCTTGGTGCTGCTGTTGCTGGTGTATGGGGGGAACAGCTGGCGGGCGAGCTGCTGGGCTCACAGCAACGACAGAGGCTTCAGATCCAGCCCGAGAAACTGCCGCCACCGCAGCAGCAAATTAATCAATTTAGTAATAATGTGAATATTAATAGTAGTAATAGCAGTAAGGGAAATAATAATCAGCAGCACCAGCAGCAGCAGGCAGTGAGTGGCAGCACCCCGCGTGTGCGGCAGTTGCCCAATCTGTCAGGGCGACTGGCAGCTCTCATCAGCCAAATAAGCCACGCCGGAAACGCCAAGGCCAGGGCCAAGCGCAGGGCGGGGCATGACGCTACTGCTGCAGCTGCAGGGCATGCAAGGGCAGCAGGCACGGTGCCCCGGCATGATTTAGCAGGAGGCATGATGATGATGATGCACGAGCAGGCGGGTCTAGCAAATGGCCTGGAGCGTGGCTTGGAGGAGGGAGGGCGAGAGAGCGCGTCGGGCCTGCATGGGCGAGGCACAGGCGGTGGTGATGGGGGAAGGCTCACATGTGGGCGTGGTGGGGGCGGTGGTGTGCAGGAGGCGCATGGCGAGGAGTCAGGCAGCAAGCGGCGGGCAGTGCAGGCGCGAGAAGTGTCGCAGGTCCCACCCTCTGCAGCACTCAGCTCTCAGCACCTTGCTGCTGCCGCTGCAGCACCTTCCTTCCCTCCTAAGCCCACTACTAGCGCTGCTGCTGCTGCTGCAGGAGGCAATGCTGCAGCGGCGCCGTCCCTACCCCACGCGTGGTTACTGCCAGGCTCGGGTCCAGACGGCCTGTCAGGAGAGGTGGACCCGTTTCTCCTCACGGAGCACATCAGCCGCTGCGCGCCTGCTCTCGCCCTCGCCCCTGCCATGCTCAGAGCCCCGCACGACCCCTTTGCCACCCTGCAGCTGCAGCTGCCGTCACTCGCTGCAGTTCCGTACACACGAGCTTCCTCCCAGGCGCTCCCATGTCATTCGGGCAGAGAGGGTGTGTCGGCCTCTCATCCCCTCGCGTACCACTCTCTGCTGCCAACTGCACTGCCCGGTGCTGCGGCCAGCAGCAAATTATTGGGTGGTTTCACATCAGTGAACATGCCCATGCCCATGCCCATGCCTATGCCTATGCCTATGCCTACACCCGTACCCACGTCCATGCCCATGCCCATGCCCATGCCCATGCCCATGCCCATGCCCATGCACATGCCGTTTTACGTGCCTGCGCATGAGGCAATGCCCATGGCAGTGCCCCGGCCTGTGCGTGCGCGCATGCACAAGGGCAAGAGCGATGTGGGCATGGACGAGGTGAGGCAGCTCGTGCTCGCCCTCGCTGAAGCCATCGCCACCGCTGACATGGTCAGTGCCCCCTCCCTCCCTCCCTCCCTCCCTCCCTCCCTCCCTCCCTCCCTCCCTCCCTCCCTCCCTCCCTCCCTCCCTCCCTCCCTCATCCCCTCTTCCCCTCAGTTCTCTCACCACCGCACACGCTCCCTGCCCCGCACCTTCCCCATCCATTTCAATATGTGTCGTCCTCTTGCGCACCCATTTATATTCTTTCTATTGTATCATCCCATCTTTCCTGTACCGCCTCGACCCCTCCCCTCCCATCAACCCTCATCTCCTCCCTTCCCCATCCACAACACATCTTTCCTAAAGGTCCCAACACCTCGACGCTCGCATTCTCCTTACTCCCCTCATCCCCCCCCCCAACCCTCCCCTCTCCCCCACCCCACACACAGCCGTGCGCCCCTCTCCCTGCAGGACCGGGTGGCAGGGCTGCGGACGCGCATGGCAGCAGCGGCGTGTGCGGAGGGGCGGGCGGGGCAGCGAGTGGCACACTGCTTCCTGGACGCGCTCACCACCCGCCTGCACGGCACTGGCGCCCTCCGCCTCTACAACGCTGCCTTCTCCCAGGTACTCCCACATGCACGCACTGTGCAAGTTACAACCGCCCAGCTCCCATGGCCAAGCGCCAAGTGCACGTGTGGTGTGGTTGCCTTGGTGGGATGTGGTTGGTTGCGGTGGGGTGTGATGTGATGGGGTGCGGTGCTGTGGGGTGCGCTAGCGTGTGGGACGCGCGTGCGATGTGATGGGGCATGGTAGGTTTGGCGCCCATGCACATGTGGTGGGCGTGCCGTGCCTGTCGTTTCCAGGCGGGGCAGCGGAGGTGAATGGTGTGCAGGAGGTACAGAAGGCGAGGGGCGTTTGCAGGTGAGATGTGGGGAAGCTGAGGGGGCTGGGGGGGTGTTATGGCTGTGAAGTTGGGATTGAGGAATCATCAGTTCCTACCCCTCACCAGCCCAACAGGGGAAGACCACTCTGTTGTCACCGCACCACTCACTCCCTACTCGATCTCATATTCGTCCCTTTGCTTCTCCCACCACCACGTGCTCCTCCCATCTACCTGCTCTCTCCCTGTCGCCATGCGCGCTGCCCCCTGCCAGGACATGCTCCAGTCAGTCGCGCCATGTGTACTTCACCACCACGCCCCAACCTTTCGTTCCTTGTCCCACCACGTTCCCCCCCGGTCTCCTCTCTCTCTTCCCCCTTTGCATCTCAGGACATGCTGCAGTCGCGCCAAGTGTATTTCACCACCACGCCCTTCATCCCCTTCCTCTACGCCACCGCCTATTCCGCCATCCTGCAAACCTTCTCCCGCTCCTCTCGCCCCTCCCCTCCCACTGGCACCACCACCACCGCTCGCTATCCTGCGTTCGATCCGTGCGCGCCTCACGACACCCCCGTGTGCTCCCCCGTTACCACACATCCTTCTGCGCCGGGCACCAGCAGCAGCAGCAGCAGCAGCCACTGCAGCGACGGCTCAGGAGAGTTTTCTTGCTCTGGGGAAGCAGCAGCAGCAGCAGGAGTGGGACGAGCAGCGTGTGAAGCAGGAGCGAAGAGCCAAAGGGAAGGCATGCGGAGGGGGGCGCTGCACATAGTCGACTTTGGAGTGTACCTGGGCGGGCAGTGGTCGCTGCTGCTGCGCCGCCTTGCCTGCCTGCCTGGCGGCCCCCCTCGCTGCGTGCGCATCACAACCGTTGATAACTGCCTCCGTGTCAGCCGAGCTGCCAAGCACTGCACACAGCGGTGCACAGCAGGAGCAGCGGCAGAAGCAGGGGCGGGAGCGGGGGAAGCGGCGGGATGCGGAGCAGATGGTGTAGGAGGCAGGGGAGTGGGAGACGTTCAGGTGGAGGAGGTGGGGAATGCGGAGCAGTGCTGGGTGGCAGAGTGTGAGCGGCAGAAGCACGAGGAGCTGGGGAGGATGCTCACAGCTCAGCTCACAGCAGAGGCAGCAGCGCTGGGCATAGAGAGGTTTGAGCACCGCGTGGTGACGATGAACAAGGACAACCTCGCTGATAGCCTCTCCCAGGTGGAGGGCCGGCGCACATGGCAGGGCCGCGGTGGCAGTGGGACAAGGAGGATGCGTGGAGGGGTGCAGGAGGGGGGTCTTGAGGAGTGGCAAGGGGAGGGGTGTGAGGAGGAGGAGGAAGAGGAGAAGGAGGTGGTGGCGGTGTGCTGTTGTTTGGAGCTGCAATACTTCCACGACAGCTCTGTCATGCGTAGCAGCCCTAGAGATGCTGTTCTCAAGGTGCGCTGCCTGCTGCCTGCTTTCAGTGGTTGCATCACTGCGTGTGTGGGGCAGCGGGCCGTGGCACCGCACGATGCTCGCAATGCTGTGTGCTGCACAACAATCCTTGCTGCCCAACCAGCCTCCTTCCCTTTCCGCGGTCGTCTCGTTGTTTCGCATCACATCACCTCTGCCATGGAGGCGCATGTCCTTACGTGAGTTGCATCTCCTCATTTCTCTTCCCTCCCTCCTCCCCTCTACCCCCTCTTGATTGCCCTTGTGTGTTCGTCCCTCCGTCCCGCCAGTGGGTGGCCTCCCTCGCTCCGGACATATTTGCATTCATGGAGACTGACCTCTCTGCCAACGGCCCCTTCTTCCTCTCGCGCCTGCGCAACTGCCTCGACTACCACGCCGCGCTCTTTGAGTGCCACGAGGGCCTCTCTGCATGCCCTGCCCCCAACCACGCGCCCCAGCCAACCAAACTCCACCAGCAGCGCAACCAGCAACCACAGCAGCAGCAGCACCATCTGTCAACCGACGCACAGCCCTTTGCACAAGGCGCGGTGGGCAGTGCTGACACCAGCTGGTCCCAAGTCTGCATGTCCTCTCTCTCACAAGCCACTGAGAAGCCCACACCACCCACCCCTGCGCCTTCCCCCCTCCTCGAAGCTCCCACTCGCCGCGACCACATCCTGGCATTTGAGCGGGCCTTCTTCGGGTACAACATCGTGAACATGGTGGCCACTGAGGGCATGCAGAGGTCGGTGCGCCCGGAGAGCCTGGTGGAGTGGGCGCAGCGCATTCGGCACGCGGGGTTTGTGCCGCTGGCGGTGCCGGCAGACGTGCTGGAGGAGGCGTATGGCACCATCCGCAGCACCCCCCTGGGGCTGGGCATGCTGGCCACAGAGGGCGCAGCGCAGCTCACATGGCATGGCTGCCCGCTGCTCATGTGCACTCTCTGGCAGGTGCCGTGGGTCATGGGTTGAGAGCATGGACCATCTCATGCCATGTCACGCACGGTAGATTTTCCTTGTTTCTATCCTCCTGCACACTTTGTAATTTAGTAATAATGTGAATATTAATAGTAGTAATAGCAGTAAGGGAAATAATAATCAGCAGCACCAGCAGCAGCAGGCAGTGAGTGGCAGCACCCCGCGTGTGCGGCAGTTGCCCAATCTGTCAGGGCGACTGGCAGCTCTCATCAGCCAAATAAGCCACGCCGGAAACGCCAAGGCCAGGGCCAAGCGCAGGGCGGGGCATGACGCTACTGCTGCAGCTGCAGGGCATGCAAGGGCAGCAGGCACGGTGCCCCGGCATGATTTAGCAGGAGGCATGATGATGATGATGCACGAGCAGGCGGGTCTAGCAAATGGCCTGGAGCGTGGCTTGGAGGAGGGAGGGCGAGAGAGCGCGTCGGGCCTGCATGGGCGAGGCACAGGCGGTGGTGATGGGGGAAGGCTCACATGTGGGCGTGGTGGGGGCGGTGGTGTGCAGGAGGCGCATGGCGAGGAGTCAGGCAGCAAGCGGCGGGCAGTGCAGGCGCGAGAAGTGGCCTCGGGGCACACAGCAGAGCAGGTAGCATGCCAGGTGCACACCTCCGCAACATTCAGCTCTCAACACACTGCTGCTCCTCCTACTGCGGCATCTGCCTTTCCTCCTAAGCCCAATACTAATTCTGCAGCAGCGGCGCCGTCCCTACCCGACGCGTGGTTCCTGGCAGGCTTGGGTCCAGACGGCCGGTCACAAGAAATGGATCCGTTCCTGCTCGCACAGCACGTCACCCGCTGCGCGCCTGCTCTCGCCCTCGCCCCCGCCATGCTCGCTGCCCCGCACGACCCTTTTGCCGCCCAGCAGCTGCCCTCTCTCGCCGCGGTTCCGTACACACGAGCTTCCTTGCAGGCGCTCCCAGTTGCGTCGGTCTCTCATCCCGTCGCTTACCACTCACTGCTGCCCTCTTTGCTGCCCGGTGCTGCTGCCACCACCAGACTAGCGGGTGGTTTTGCATCCCCGCCCATGCCTTCGCCCATGCACATGCCTTCGCCCATGCACATGCCTTCGCCCATGCACATGCCCTTTCACGGGCCTGCGCATGAGGCCATGGTCGTGGCAGTGCCCCGGCCTGTGCGTGCGCGCATGCACAAGGGCAAGAGCGATGTGGGCATGGACGAGGTGAGGCAGCTCGTGCTCGCCCTCGCTGAAGCCATCGCCACCGCTGACATGGTCAGTGCCCCCTCCCTGCTCTCTTCTCCCCCACTATCCATCCCTCCCTCCCTCCTTCCCTCCCTCCCTCCCTCCCTCCCTCCCTCCCTCCCTCCCTCCCTCCCTCCCTCCCTCCCTCCCTCCCTCCCTCCCTCCCTCCCTCCCTCCCTCCCTCCCTCTATCCCTCCGCTCTCTCACCACCCCATTTAATCTATGCTCCGCTCCTGCCCCTTCCTTTTCAATACGTGTCTTCGTGTCTCGCACTGGTCTTCTTTCTATCATATCCTCCTCGTCCCAGCCCCGACTTGGCCCTTTCCCTCTCTCCCCGCCAGCCCAACTCCATACTCGTCCTCCCGCCCTTCCCCCATCCACAACCCATCTACCCCATTTCTCTCAACCACACCCCCTTTTCAAAAGCAAGAAATATCATATCCCTCTCACGCCCCTCACACCACCCCCTCCCCCACCCACGCCCGTGCGCCCCCCTCCCTGTGGCAGGACCGGGTGGCAGGGCTGCGGGCGCGCGTGGCAGCAGCAGCGTGTGCGGAGGGGCGGGCGGGGCAGCGAGTGGCGCACTGCTTCCTGGACGCGCTCACCACCCGCCTGCACGGCACCGGCGCCCTCCGCCTCTACAACGCCGCCTTCACCTCCCAGGTACTCCCCGACACACTCCAGCCTGCTGGGGAATCTCCAAGCGCGCAGCACCAAGTGCCAAGCGTCAAGTGCACGCGTGTGGGCACCTTACTGGGATGCACCTGGCTGCTGTGGTGTGTGTGGCGTGGGGTGCTGCAGGGTGCGGTAGCGTGTGGGACGTGCAGAGGCTGTGCATGTGGCGTGCTAGGTTGGCTCCGCATACACTTGTGGTGGCTGTGTCTGTTAGTATCATCAGGCTGGGCAGCGGGGATGAATGGTGGTGCAGGAGAGGGGTTTGTGCTGTGCTCGTGAGGTACAGGGGATGTTGTGTTTGTGATTCTGGGATGTGTGGCGTCATCACTGCCCCCCTTCTCAACAAACCATCCTTCTTATCTCCCCAGCCCTTCCGCCTCCCCGCCTCATCCCCTCGCCCTCCCCTCCCGCCAATTTTCTGCCAACAACCTTCCACTCGGTTGTCCTCGTTTACCTCTCCTGCCTATCCCTCGCTTTCACCGCGCACAAAAACCTCCCAGTTTTCATTTCACATTCGCCCCATCATCACCCCATCCGTCTACACTCCCCTTCGCCTGCCTCACTTCCTGTTCCAACTCCTGCCATCTCACTCTCTCCCCTTTCTCTCTCCAACCCCTTTCCTTGCAGTTACATGGAACATCACATTGTACCAACGCCCTCAGTTACATACCACGGCTACTCAAAGTGCACTACCATTTTTCAAACATGAATCCCCGACACATGGTTTTTGACATAGGAAGATATCTCACCAACACTCTAGCTGTCTGAAGACCGTCCGCGGTCATGAGAGTCGCCATGTTGTCAAAATCGCTTCCCACCGCCTTCCTGTACAGCATGCGCGGTGGATCGTCGGCCGTCACGAGACACATGGCCTTGCTGGTGCGGGTCAGCGCGGGCTTTATGTTGCGCAAAGCCTGAGTGGTGGATTGTGGGCACGCATGGGAGGAGACTGTTTCGTGACAACTACCGAACACGACGATTCCATGTGTACCTTACCCAAGTACCTCTTATACTACACGATAACGCATTTTGTACCTCTCGCAGGGCCATGTAGTATGTTCTTCCACCGCCTGACAGCGCCGCTATCTCCTGTGTGATCTCACGCTGCGTCTCCTCCTCGACAATTCTCCGTGGTATGTCCTTCCAGTTGCTGCCGCGCACGGGGCCTTTCACGGTGCCCTTGTGTGTATGCTCCCACAGCTCCGTCAAATACTCGTGCGGCAAACCCCTCATGGCTATGCCGTCGATGATGTGCACGACTTCGTGGAGCCTTACGAAGTTCCAATTCGACTTCTGCTTCGGGAAAGCGGCCTGCAGTGCAGCTATCAGCCTACACGTACAAGCAAGCTCATCGTCGTTAGCAGATTGTTCCATCACACCATGGATCAAGATGGCCATGTAGAGTACGAATGGACACGGCGTGCATGTGTACTCACGAGATGCCATGCTGCCTGGCGATAGCGATTGTGACCCTCGTGTGTTTGGTCACGACTAGCAGTGGCTTGTAAAACACCGCGTAGTATCGAAACGCACGGACCTCCGCATCTCGTTTGGCCCGTTCCTCCGCAGAGCACCCCACGCACAGGTCAACAATGACGATCGGGAAAATCTGCATCATGCCATGGTACTCGAAAGCTGCATAATTGGCCCCGCTGCAGAAAACGGTCGAGCCACCCAGGATGCGCACTAGGACACTCCTTGTGTCGCCCTTCACTCCAAACTTGCGGCTGTACCAGGCACCAAGCACACAAATGCAACGCACCGCCCATGTGCTCGTTACCACATCCTCTCGCGTAGTACCGCAAAGATTCAAGGAGAAGGAACATGCGGTTACTCACTGATCAAACACTCTGATCTCGGGTTTGGTCTTTCCCTCCATAAAACACATGGCCATATGTACCAGCACCCCTGAGTCGAGTACATGCAATATGTCGCCCACGCATGCCAAGAACACATTGCCCCACTTTGTCTCCGAGAAGTTCCACCGTTCCAACACTCTCTGTACATCGGATGGTAGTGTCAGTCAAACCCAACGCTCAGCGCGATGCACAACTCTCATGTTCCACGCGAGTTCTCGGTTCAAAAAGTACAATATGCGACACAGGAACGGTGCCCGCGTACCGTGATCGGATGCGTGGACCACCTGGCTTGGGCCGCTGCAGCGTCATCCACCGTTGGGGCGCTCAGTATCTCCGCCGCCGCATGCCGCTCCCTCTTCACCGTGCGCACAATGAACTCGTTTGTCAGGTCATGGAGGTGCTTCCTCTTGATGTAGCAGCTCGAGCACGGTGTGTGTGATGCCTGTTGCATCGTTGCTGTGGCCCGGCACCCTTCGGGATAGTCGCCGACAAATGCATATAGGCATGGATATGCCTTCACCACACCTCTGCGCCCATCCGACACATCGAAGAATCGTAACGGACCACCGCATGCACATTATAACGGATTGCTGCCCATCAGATGCCGACCATGAACCCCATCGCATCATACGGCTAACAACATGCATTCAGAACATTTACTCTCGGCTCTCTCGCATCAACAGACCCGTCACGATGCGATACACCTCATGGTACACTCGAGTCTTCTTTGTCGCCGACGCCCACTCAAGCGGGAAAGGGAGCACCCCCACTAGAGCGTGACCTGGCTCTTGCCATCTTAACTCCTCTGGTATATTGACCAAACCCATCAGCATTGGCCAAGCCTTCAAGCGTCCGTTCCTCGACGCGTACGTGCTGTCACTGTACGATATAACACCCAACACCATTGAATCATCCTCCGGTAGTTCCGCCTGTCAATATAAAAGATTTATCGAAAATGTCAGTCCCACTCTCGCGTTGCCTCATGAGACGCCTGTGAACATAGCTGGTTACTTGCCTGCGCCTCTTCCAGCCAAGTCCCTGTGTCGGGCGTACTGAAATGTCGCATGTCGTTCGTATCCTCTGGATCTCTCCGCGGCCTTTTGACAAACCCCTTCACATTTACATATGTCTTTACGATCTTTTGAGCTATTTGCCTCAGCATTGGCAACGACGAGAGTGTTAGAACCGCATCAACGACTCAGTAGTGCGGCAGGAAATGTATTGCATAAAATACCACACGCTCACCAGCTTGGTGTCCTTGTACAGCAGTTCCAGCATTTGCGACCTTCCTCCGGGCCCCCGCACCTCAATCTCAGCCTTGAGCCACGGCAACATGTCGTCCGGCGCGTGTTCATCCCCATACCGCCTCACGTCCGCGACGTTCTGCTAGCGACGAGCCGCTGCAGGATCGTACCCCTTGTGGTTGAAGATGTGCAGAATTCGATTTATTTCTCTGTCTGACATATCAGCGTCCTTGAAGAACAGGTACAGCTCATTCAGTGTATTGAACAACTCGCCAACTCTGGAAACGGATCCATCGTCCGACGACGACACATGCCCGCGCACCAGGTCCGCGTGTTCAGGTGACTCTCTCAGATATCGGAACAGCGAGTCTGCAGAGTGCGGGCTACCCGAGACAGACTCACTATCGGAATGCTGCGGGCCATTCCGGACCGCGGCCAATGCCTCCGCCAACGCCTCCACTGCCCGACTCTCCAACCTCTCGAGCAGCGTGTCCCTGCACGTGTCATTGCGGTACAGATGGATCCTCAGTAAGTTGTCCGACTCAAGCTCGTGGCCACATGCCCCACACTTGTTCCCTGACATTAGTTTTAATCTACGCCCCCGACATTACCATAAGGCCGTTCCCCGACTACCCATCACGTCCCACCGTATCTACCGATCTGTCAGGCACGTGTTGAAGTTAGGTGAGTGGCAGCCATAGCTAGTGAGTGAAGTAACGAGAAGGAAAAGTTGCACTAGAGAAAGTGTCGAGAGACATTTGAAAGTTAGGGTTGGGAAACCCCAACTGAACCTAAGGCGTGTTCAGTGCAGAGGCAAACTGCAAAGTGAACCTAAGATGAACCAGAAATGAAACTAAGTCTAAAAGTGGCCGAAAAAATAATATAAGGCCAAAATGAAATGCAGAGCAAACACTAGCCTACTCCAACAGCACGCTCTCCGCTACACGCATTACAACCTATAAGCACTTGACTGACTAACACTCCGTTTCCATTCCCGGTCATCTCCTTCTTTACTCCTAGCGCAACGCCCGGCGTTCTCATACGTCTCGTCACGCTATCGCCCGTTTGTATCATTCGTCAACCTCCTACGTCACCCCACTCGCACCTATGGTATAGTGGCGCTTTGAAGCCATCGTGTACGAACAATGCGCGGGTCTGGATGGTGAGGATGTTAGCCGTAATTCGAAAACCTGACCACCTCAAAGGCCGACCTAAGAAACACCGGAAACCAACAAGCACTTGTTCCGTCTAGTTTCGATTGTACCAGGATCGTGAGAGTATCCTCGCTACAGCGAACATGTACGCATGTATGTGTCACTCGTTAAGAATCGGGTACATCCGAAACAATTGTATGCAGTTTACGACCTGGATAATCATAACAATATTGCCAATTTCATACAATCCTCTTTCGCGTACAACCCAATTGATATTAATGCATTCTGAACCCGATGTCCCACTATTCGAACATGTCCACCACAGCACATATTGCCACAACATGGTCTACTTTCAAACTCATGCTACGATGTCGCGGCATGAGACGGTCAAGAACATCCAGGAGAAGCAACACTCCATCGGTATTAGTGGGCCTTGAACCACCTGCCACATCGCCACGTTGACAACTTGTGAGGCAAATTGAAGCATCGCTTCCGACATGCAACATGGTGCATCTTACCTTCTGAGTCATCGACGTTAGTACGACTGCGCCTCATGCGGCGCCGCTGATACTCGTTGGTACGTTCCTCCGGGCCTCCTAAGAGTCAGGCACGCAACGTGGAGTACTGCAACGTCAATAACGTGCTGTAATTGCTCAAATAAAAGCAACATACCGTCAAACCAGTTGTTCTGTAATGTTCGCACCTGTGCGTGAGTGAACTTGCACAGTCGGAGTAGCAGCGCTAGACACGCAAGCACCAGGAGCCGCGTCTGCCGAGCTCGACATGGCGTTAGTTGGAGGATCAGAATCTTCCTTATCACCTGGTAGTGTATTCGCGTCGCCCCTGTTACCCCCGAAAAAGAAGTCGAACAAATCGTTCACACGGTTGGAACCATCGTGTGTCGCGGCCGGGGGATGTCCACTCTCCGCGCCGGCGTCTGTTTGTGCAACCGTCTGCGCTTCAGGATGATAAGGTGCTGTGTGGGCCGCATTTTCATCCCACGCGCCTCCCATCGTGGGCTT